TTACTTGACGGGGTGCTCTCGGTCCGGTGAATATCGCTTATTCTGGTCTCTATCAGTGGTGGTATACAATTGGCTTGCGCACCAATGAAGATCTTTATACTGGAGCTCTTTTTCTATTACTTCTTTCTGCGATATCTTTAATAGCGAGTTGGTTACATCTACGACCCAAATGGAAGCCAAGCATTTCATGGTTCAAAAATGCTGAAATCCAAGAATCATTCGTTTGATGGAACAGGGAGATAGGATTTGAGAAGAAACTGGTAGCGAGACAAGGGATCACTTGCTCCTGGCTAGTTTTTTAATAAATTTCATCTGATTGATGAGGCATAAGACAATTCATGGATCAGATGTAGGAATAGGAATCAATAATTAAATCGGGATAGCATGCATTTACCTAGGTTGGTTTGTCCTGTGGGATCTATATCTTCGAAACCCGATATTTTGAAAGGGACAGTGGGCGAGTAATCGTCCATATATAAATGATCGAACCATCATATACTCTTTCTTTAATCATAATGATATGAGGTGTTTGAAAATGGTTGCAGTAGTTGAATATGAGGATCACTATGACTATAGCCCTTGGTAGGTTTTCCAAAGAGGAAACTGATTTATTTGATATTATGGATGACTGGCTATGGAGGGACCGCTTCGTTTTTGTAGGTTGGTTTGGTCTATTGCTTTTTCCTTGTGCCTATTTTGCTTTAGGAGGGTGGTTCACAGGTGCAACCTTTGTAACTTCATGGTACACCCATGGATTAGCTAGCTCCTATTTGGAAGGATGCAATTTTTTAACCGCTGCAGTTTCTACTCTTGCTAATAGTTTAGCACATTTTTGTTGCTACTGTGGGGTCCTAAAGCACAAGGAGATTTTACCCGTTGGTGTCAATTAGGGAGACTTGATATATATATATATATACATACACACACATACACATACACACACACACACACACACATACACACACATAGCATGTATGATTGGATAACAACAACACCTTTGATGCACCTATCGAAAGGCATATGAGACACCTATCGAAACCCTTAGTAAGGTCTTTAGGTTCATATTTTTATTCCAAGTGAATCCAACTTGCCCTTACATAAAAGCCCTTAGTTTTAAATAATCAAATAGTATAGAGATCCATCAAGGACAATGGACAATAAAGCAAATGGCAAAAATCACACATGCGGAGAAATACACATTTATGAAATCCAATTACCTTATAGATCTAATATTTCAAACCAACCACAATGAACTTAATGTCCTCTTCACACATGCGTGAATATATTTCTGAAATTCAAATTCAAATTTCAATTTCATTTTGGATTCAATATTTAAATTAAATTAAAATGGACCTCACACATACTAAAAAGGCACTGGTGTGAATCAAATAAACATGTGGCAAAAATGTTCCTATGGTTATAACATAATATAACAAATCCAATAACAATATAACAACATAACAAAATAATATATGTCATCCACATCCCTCACCTTAGGATTAGTGCCTAGTTGGGCATCGATTTTGTGGTGGGGCCAGGGGTTCCACCCTACTCGAGTGTGCCACATGACAGTCCTAAAATAGAATTAGGTCTAAACAAATATTAAAAGTACATTTCTGTCAACAAAAAAATTTCAAAAAATTCTCTAAAATTCACAATAAATATTTATAAATCATTTTTCATCATAATTAATTGAACAAAAGGTAAGTAAAATCTCATCGCCTTGACTCTAGGCATCGGAGTACTCTATTTGGCTAGTCCCAAATGACGTTCCGCCGTTGTCTCAAGCTGACCTAATGGACCTATGCTCCAGAGTCTATAATAGGGATACATAATTGGTCACATCAAAGTCACTGAGCTAGAGCTTCCCATCATCTGGCTCTCAATGGATTACAAGTGAACCGTTGTGGGACATATTCTAACACAAGCACAAGGGTCCTCTCAAAGCACATGTGCACCGACTCTTCCAAACTCAGAAATGGATTTAGAAGAGTGGCTTCCCATGCGAACATTAGTGAACATGCCATGGAATAGTTTCGTGTCAGGATACGACTTATGTCCCATAAGTCATGACCATCTCATATAAGGTCGTTACTCATAAAAATACTCGGTTTCTATTGTACTCGATTGGATACTCCAAGCCTAGGCTAATTGCAATAATCGTGAGGCTAATATAAACAAGATCCTGACTAGGAGGTGACCCTCACACCTCCTTGAGAAATTTCTTTCTCGAACATAAAACTTAGAGACTCAAATAGTTGAGGTATATTAGCAAAACACCCAGATTTTATATCTCAATCACGCCCACTGAATGAGAGACTATTGGTATTCAGGTCTTGAAAAGCTATATACCCAACATCCCCCTTTCTTAGACAAGAGTCGCATAACTTGCTTCGAATTTTCAAAGCCAAACTCTACTCTTTTTCTCTCTCTAATGCCATGTTCCAGTCTCTCTCAATAGAAATATAATCGTTTAGCTTTTAAAAGGAAGAAGCATGATGAGGGGATAAAGGCTGTGAGGTAGGAAATAAAGCTCCTTGTACTGGGACAAAGGCAGCTTGCATGGCTTTGCCTCAATGCCATAGCACAAGCTAGCCTTGTAATCGACCATTGCACTCATGCTGCTCCCGATTCCCTGTAACCCAGAAGCCCCATCTTATAGTAGAGGGCCTTTGGAGGTATCATCACTGTCAATTACAATCCAGGCCAGTTTCTCCTTGAATTAGTGGAGCTCTCAACCATGTCAATGCAACTACTGCGCATCTTTTCTTCTTACAAAATTGAAACAACAGAGAGAGAAAGAGATATATAGAGAGAGGGGGGGATATGTATACAAAGAGATAGCTAGAGGAGTGGAGACAATGATAATGAGGAGTAGAGGTGATTTGGGTTTTTTTTTAAGAGAGAAATTGATTTTTGTTTTTTTATTTTTAACAAATGAGAGCTACTACCTGGCAATGAGATTGCTGGATAGTATTGGAAAGAACTTGGGAAAGAATAAAACCTTATCTGGTGTTGGTATTGCCGGACAGGGGTGCCACTTAGAGAAAAAAAAAATTCCATAGGGGGTAAGAGGTTGTGCTCGTAATTTCGGACAAATGAGTGCCCATTTGGTAATTGACCACCCACAATAGTGTCCATACTTAATTTGCTCTTTTTGTTTTTGGGTGTTTAGATAGATGTATATCTTTTATAGTCCAAAATTGTAATCTTGATTTTGATAGTGGATTTCTATTTGCTATAGCTGTAGACGTAGCCCGACGGGGTAAACCACTTAAATTATGCTCTATTATTGTGCGATTATAGTTTTTTTTATATTTATTGTACATGATTTATAGTTGTATTAATCTATTTTACATTCAGCCCATTGTATACATGTTCTTGGGTGGGATCCCGGTATTTGGGATACCTAGTTCTGTAAGCAAGGGGTTCCCGAGAACCCTACGCATATAAGGTGTCAACCATTAACAATTAAAGTGTGATGCACCTCGCAGGATGCAGTTTCGATGATGAAAAGACTTAAAATGGTATGAAAATATATTTTATCCCTTTTTGCCAAATTTAAGATCAAAATATTTGCATCTCGAGTACATATATAAAAACTTGAAAATCTTAAAATGAAAGATCCATATAATATATGACAAAATACATTATTTTTTCGTCTTGAAATCCATTTTGTTCAATATCTATACATACGAAGCTTAGATGAACAATTACAGAGCTTTCTAGCTTTATAATCACTTTTTTTTTTTTGGTTTTGAAAGTGCATTTTACTTTTATATTATGAAAGTGTATTTTGCTTTTATATTATATAAAAGGAAAACATTTATATTACGGTGAGGTCCTAAACAATCAAATTAAGGCACACCTAAAAGAAGAGGTTGTTTCGATAACCGAAAATCCTCAAATCGATCATCTCGACCTCAAGATGTATGAACTTGAGAAAAAAATGGATTTCAAGTCTTGAAAGTAATATACCTTGTAATACATGCTTTGGACCATCAACTCTCAAGAATTTCAAAGGTTCATAGATTTATTTGATCTACACTATTTTTAAGCTTTAAATTTGATAATTAGAGATGAAAATAAATTTTGAGGCTACTACAAAGATTTTTAGTAATGAAATATCTTTTGATACTATTTAAAGATGCGCCTTATTTTTATTATTTAGGCCTCAACCATATTCAAATCACACGCCATATAAACTTAATGAATTATATATAGGAAAACGTTTATATAAGCTTGCAACTTTAAAATGTAGAATTCAAGATGCACTTAAAATCCATTGGAAAAGGTTATTTTAATGTTGAAAAATCCCTTAATTGATTATCTCGACATTGAGATATATGAATGTGAAAATAAGGAGAAGAAGAAGATATTTAAAGTCTTAGAAATAGTACATCTTGTAACACATTATCTAGACCGTCCATTTTGAAGATTTTCATATGTTTATAGATCTACTTGATTTTAACCATTTTTTAAGTTTTAAATATTATAATTAGATGTGAAAATAGATTTTGAGATAATCCTAAGAGTTTTTTACATCAAAATTACATATTATGCTAAAATTTAGATGTGGGCCTTAATTAGATTGTTTAAAGTACCCGTGTATATAAACTCTTTCTTAGTCTGAAACTTTAAACCTTTTACTAACATTTTCCACATAATAAAAGGAGAATAAAAACACCAATGACGTGGCACACTGCACTATGCAAGTCTTCAATGTGTACCATCAACTGTGACGTCATCCATGACGTAAACGGACAGCATGATCATCCATGACGTAAATGGTATCATTTCAATTGTCAAGTGAGACGAGATAGAGAGACTGAATTTAGAGAGAGAGAGAGAGAGAGAGAGGGTGTCAATTTTTGAGAGTAAAGGACATCAATGCCACGTGTTTGACCATGGTCAATGCCACAGCGTTTGACCATGGGTTGTTAAATATGAAGCCACCTCAATACCACATATTTTCAGACTTAATATTTTGGAAAGACAAATTTTAGGGTTTCTATGTATAAAACGTAGCAAAGAATGGAGAACATGACCACTACTGCTCAGCATGGCAAAAAAGGAGCACAAAGTGAGGTTGTTGGGAACATGGAGAAGCCGATTTGTTCACAGGGTTCGTCTAGCCCTCAAACTCAAGGGAATTGAGTACGAATACATTGAAGAAGACCTCAAAAATAAGAGCCCCCTTCTTTTAGAGTCCAACCCCGTGTACAAGAAGGTCCCTGTACTCATTCATGGCAATAATGTGGTTTCTGAATCAATGGTGATCTTAGAATACATAGATGAAACATGGTCTGAAAATCCTCTCATGCCACAAGACCCCTACGACAGAGCTATTACTCGATTCTGGTCGAAATTCATTGATGACAAGGTAAAGTTAGCACTTTGGGCCATTTGCCCTGTGATTTCTTTAAGAGGAAAAGTATATATACAATAATAATAATTATTATATTTTTAGTACAAGGAGGTTATGATCATCCTAACTGAAGTCGAATAGCAGGTATGTATATAAGGAAAGTATATCATGAGACTATTTATCTTTGTGACAAGGTGGTTACAATTAATTTTGACCATTGGATGTGAAATAAGAGGGCAGCATTTATTTCATTGACCAAGCTCAAACTTCAAAAAAAAAAAAAATTTGAATTTTGTGAAACATCCCAGTTATTGAATTTCACATCAAATAATTGTAACTAATTGTGACCTCTTTATATAAAAGATAAATGCTCGTATTGTATTCAATCCCAGTCTCGAGGTCCAAAAATATTTTTTCAAATTGTTTGACATGCTCCCGAATCTTCAATTTCCTAAGAGATTGTTAATGAGCCAATGGTGACGTCTTAAGATATAGAGTCTTTTTTTTTTCATGTCATAATGAGCATTAATGAGAAGAAGAAGTTATTTTGTAAAATAATTGATGTTAGCGTGGGACATTTATCTTAAGCCTTAATGATTTCCATTTTATTTTTCTTCAAAGACAACCATACTTGCCCATGATAACTTAAGATTGGCTCACAAGTTTTCCTGGTTCCTTCAAACAGTGCCTGGCACCAATCAGGACGGTTCTCTTAACAGACGGTGAGGAACAAGAAAAGGCCATGAAAGAGGCTAAAGAAGCTCTTAAAACCCTGGAAAGGGGCCTTAAGGGAAAGTTCTTTGGTGGGGAAGTAATCGGTTTTGTTGACATTGCGGCCAGTTGTCTAAGCATCTGGTCCGAAGTGCTTGGGGAAGTAATTGGCACAAAATTCATAGATTCTGAGAAATTGCCACACTTACATTCTTGGATTGAAGAGTTCACGAGCATTGATCTGGTCAAGGAGAGCTTTCCTCCTTACGACAAGCTTTTCGCCTCCTACAAAGCTCTCCGTGAAGACCATCTCGCAGCAAAGTTTTCTCAGAATTAAGATATCAGTCTCTGAGTTTCAGGTTTTCACTTGCATCTTAAAAATTATAAAAAGAAAAGGTAGAAAGAGTTGGTTTGTGGAAGATTTCTTTGATCACAATTTGCGTGTATAGTTGAGTAACTATGGAAATTGTTGTCGTTTATAGAATTATGCTAAGATGCTTTGATCCTTCACTTATCTACAATGAATCCTCTAAATTCTTCAAATAACATACAGGTACCTTGGACAGGGGTAAAACCGGAGTTGTCGTATTTGGTTGAGGAGAATTTAAGAAAATAAAAAGAAGGATGGGAAGACATACCTGTTTTCAGCCATGCTAAAATCATTCTCCCAAGATTATATTTTGCTCTTTACTGATAAAAATTAGTGTAAAGAAAGGTGTATAGGGGCACAACAGTCGTCGGGATACTTAAAAACATAAGGGCATAAAAAAGAAGGCAAGCTTTCTATGTTTTCCCTACAACATAAAACTTATATACTTCCCTTTATTTAACCATCCATTCTTAATGGAGGGTTAAGATTGCCCCAATCACAATGTCACGTTTCTACTCTATTTTATTTCTAATTTTTTTCTATAAACTATATTGACACCAAATATTGGACGACCGATCCTCTATTAAACTCACACTAGTGAAAAATATTAAAAAAATATTTTCAATAAATTAAAATGATTAAAATACTTTTGAAAGTTTTAAGGGGTATTTTGGTCATTATATTGTATCCAAAAAATATTTTTAGTATTTTTTTTATAGGTGCACCCCAATGAGAAGATGGTGTGTACCAAATTTCATATTCATACAATTCGTATAAAAAAAAAATTAAAAATAAAATACTTTGAGACATCGGATCTAAGATCAAACAGTGAGTGACTCTCTTGATCAAAATTGGACGGTTGGATTGTAAGGGAAGCGTAGATGTCACACCCCGAGATGTGACAGACAAAACATATATACATCTATTGATAGGACAAATTTATAGTGGCGAGGTCTTACAACGTAACAAAAGAAAGTTTAAGCAAAACTACAATATCTTCCCAAAGTTGATCTTGACGAGGACACAAATGAAACCGCAGTTATCCTGAAAAATGTTTACCATAGTTTGATGAGTTTGGCTACTCAGTAAGTGTTCATCATAATCCTAAAAATAATCATGATTG